AGTAAACTGCCATCGAGAGGAAATAGAGTTTACCTGGATGACTTATGTTTCGCTTTTTGTTTGTAAAATGTGAATTTGCTCTTCATCTTCATGCATAATGAATAGTACAGGTGTGAATCGCTCATATATACCTACCCAAGCTTGATTGATTGATATTGATATCAATCTACCCAAACTCACCGGATCCTCCTTCTACGTCGCCTTTTCTGGTACTGAGCCAGCGTATAAGGCAATCTAGTGTGTACATATATGTATGTGTACCTTGCATGTCTCCTTACGCCATAATCCCTCAGCGATAATAGCTAATCTCGCATGCGCGATGACCATATCAGCTTTGAGTTTATGTTTTCAGTAATTTCTTTAAGGCCAGAACCCAATCTATTTGCCACTGACACGTTGACAGGGACTTGGTCAAAGTTTTGCGTTAACCGCCATCAGTGTCCAATGAATAGTAGGAATTAATTATTTGTTAAACTGCTTAATGCTTTGATCGTGGTAGCTAAACAAACCATTTACGATTGCCCACGCCGGAAATAATTTCGCTTCTCCTTTAGGTAGGTAGGTGCATTTTTTTTACGCTAAGGCGATACATAGCTGGGAAGTATCCGAGTTCCGACCTCTATGTTACTATTTAAAATTACTATAACTTTTGCAATGGTACTGCTGCACTTAATTCAGCTCATAGTTAGAAGATTCATTTCGCATGTGAGTCGGTTTGTATCCTACAATATTCATTATAATACGTTATAGGTGCTGCATGTGCGATTTTTCTTATCAAAGGCCGTTTTCACGACGGAATAGCAGGCATCTATTTGATACCAATATAATCCTTTGGTTCCTCAGGAATTTTAGTAGTTCTTTTTAGTAGGTTTACCAGCTTTCGAATGAATGGCGCGTTAGTTTGCTATTTTTCTATTAAATATCACATCGATTTACTTTATCTAAGGATTTATCACTAACATCAACATAAAGCGTAAGCACAATTACAAAATTATGAAATTAGTAAATACTAGTACAATAGTTAAAAAAAGATACTGAGTTGCCACACTACAAAAGATATATTCATTTATGGCGCACGACAGACATTTAGAAAGCAGCGCCCTGTTTTATTACACGCTGCTAGCCGCTTCCATTGGGTTTTGCAGGCCGACGTTATTGGTTGTTACACGTATGATGTCACGCGACTTGTGGCCTATCACGGCTCTTTAATGATCTCCACTAAATGAATGCAACAATGGCCTTTTAAGTTGATATCTGTGGCCATCTGTCTATGGAGCGACCAATATGAAAGTTAGATGAATTTACCGGGGTTACATGACTATGAGCAAGCAAATGTGTATCAGGAATGGATTCAGGTGGAGAATTGCGCTGGACCATGAGTGCTCGAGCGCTCCCAATTCCACGCCGGTTTGGCTTTGGAGCCGAGACAGACGATGCGGGTCAAGGTCACCGCTGGGGTAACGCTGGATTGGCTGCGCCCGAGCACCCGTAACGCGGCACAATTCTCCATCTATAGATTTTCCTATTCGCTCAGCATTGCGATACCTAGGTGTTCGTAATAGCAATTACTCTGCTTATGTACTTATCCCCGGTTATTTAAAAGAAGTTTTTGTGAGGGGATATCACGGCTATAGGTAGGTACTCAGTTGCCCTATTCACGACTTTCAAAGAATGCTCCGATATCTAAATACCGCACAGACCTACTGCATTGGTGAATCTGACAAAAGGTCTGTGGAATTACATTCCCCCTCACCACACCCCTAAAAACTCATCCAGTGTCAAAAACCACTTTTATCGACTCGCCAAAAAAAAACACACACACACACACACACACATACACACACACAAAGCATGGGGCATGTCAGCTCTCAGTTCATTTATCATTGTCTTTACCATGGTTCAATTGCATTGCGCGATTCAAAGCACGTGAGTGCCTATATAGTATATATGTAGAAGATAATACCTACAGCAAAACATCAAAAATTACAAAGGCTACAATGCTTAAAAAGTAGATTCATCAAGGAAGCCCATTTTAGCTTGCGTGGTGTTGCCAACCATGCGATTCCAACGCGGGCTATTCACAACGTCTGCAAAGGCACGTTAACAACTGACAAGCCGCCACCGCTGCCAGTTATTCATAGATGGTTGATATCGCAGCTTGAGCGTCAGCAGCGCGGCCCACAACGCGTCGGCGCCAGCGCACGCAGCTGTTGGCACTCGGCAGCCGGTGTTGCGACTTAACGGCCGGCCGGCCCCATGAAGGAGAAGCTCTTGCTGAAGCTTTGTGATCGCCTCATAGCCGCCTTGGATGTCATCTTTCTTGGCAGATCCATCCGTTCAGATGGTACGGTGCAGTCTGGATAAAGGACGAAGTCCAACGCCGCTAACCCCGCGACCGCCACCCCAGAACGTGGCCGCAGACCGAACGGGCGTGAGGGCCGTAAGGGCCACCCCGCCATCCGGTAGGTGGCTGAGCAGCCGGGCGCAGCGGCGCCTGGGCGGCGGCCGCGCTGAGATGAAGTCCCAAACCGCCATGTCGCCATCACCGCCATCACCATTGCTGCAGCTGTTCCCAACCGCCTCCATTGCCGCCGTTGTCAGGTATTGCCAGCAGCCGCGCCGCGGGATGTCAGAAGCCGCGCCTCCAGCGCCCCTCTCCGCACGTGTGCAGGTGCTCTGCGGCCGCCGGGTCCGACGTCCAGGCAGAACATGATATTTCCATGCTGCTCCGACGGTGGGCTGGTCTTGTTTGGGTGTTCCTCCACTGTGACGTCGGTCACGCCTACCCCGGCCAGGGCGCAGAGGCCGACGTCTCACCATCCGGTTGCGGTCCTCAGTCGGGTCGCAACGTGTACCTCTACCGCAGCGTGGAGCGCGCTCCCGCTGGGCAGCGATACAGCCAAACGTAACATGCGGGCGGCCAGCGCTGCGCCGGACAGCGGACCCATGCAGGGGGTATGCCGGTCTCGGCCATTAGCGGGGTCGTCGGGGCCGAGGCTGTACATACAGCTGGTGACCGCGTGAGCCGCCAATCGAAGCTCACGGCTTATAAGCTCGACGCAGGCATCACACGTTGTCCCGATGGGAGCTCCACGACGCCGCCGCGAACTCCAGCAGCGCGGCTCGCAGCGCGAAGACCGGTACGGACGGCCGGGGCGCGAACGGCGTGCGGGAGTCGCAGGCGACGGAAGACGTTCTGCGGACAGAAAGGGTTGGGCATAAGCTGGTCGGCAGGACACTCTTGAGCCGAGCCTTTGATGTAATTACAGATGATCCAGAAGCATGCACAAAAATTCATGACACACTATTCCCATTTATGTATTTGCTACATATGATATGATATACCAGCTCATGATCAGTGACGCATTCTGGGCAATATGTTCTAAAGTGAAGTAACTGAAGTTACAATTGACAGCTTAAAAAAACACACACACGCACACACATTCGATAGCTTATGAGAATAACATGCCTTGTCTGTTTAATGCAGGAAAATATTTTTCACTTTTTTAGAAACAGCAAAACCGTTGTCAACATGCCATGTCAACTATCTAAACAATTTTTATGGAAACTGCGCTAGGTAGCTTAAAGTTCCACAACGTTTCCGGAGCACTGTACCCAAACTCAGTTCATGTTGCAAGAAAAAACAGTAATAATGCCTCCTAATTTTGAATGAAATATAGGTATGAGTAATTTGATTTGGAAATTGGAAAGCAACAAATTTCCGCACATCATTTTAGCAAAATTACTATTTTCTTCAGCCACCAGGTTTTGCACAAAATTATAGTAAACTTTATGATCTAGTTTACACAAAACCAAAGCCCCTTTTAACAAATGTTGAATAAATTTTAACAATTTTAAAAAATGTATCGTGGAAAAAATGAAAAGTGTAGATTTGTAAAGCCGGGATATTTCACGGATTAGGCACTTAAAGAAATATCTTCACCTTTCTTTGAGCCACCAGCCTTCACCAAGTTTTACACGAATGTAGTGAACCAGACAATGTGGCAACTCAAAATTGTGATGGTTTGAGATAATTATAACGGTAAAAGAAAAAGCAACACAAGGTTCCTTACCCTCGCTTTTTTCACTAGTCCAGATGAGGGACGACGGTGAAAACAGGGCGCCTGGGGCGATTTGATCAAGGTTCGTGAAATTTACACGTGACGTTTGGCATACAGAAGGCCCATTGAGGGGGAGAAGTTCCAAATGTCACGTGACTAATATGCCCCCCGGCGCCCTGTTTTCACCGGCGTCCCAGATGAGGCTTCAACTGTTGCCGACCTGAGGAGCTATAGGGACTTGAGCTTTCCAAAACGCAATTTCTAAGGGCACTGAGCAGTGTTTGGGTTTCACACGTATGCGATCGTAAGTTATATTAAGTTGACAAAGCAAGCAAAGCAAAGCATGATGCCCCGCGCGTCCACCCGCGACCACGTCCCGCGCCCGACTCCCGACCGCCGCGTGACCCGAGGCTCCCGGCGGTCACGTGACCTACCGGCCGGGACTGCAAACGGCCTTCAACACCATTCTTGTATGACGTCATATCCTACTGAGGTGCTGATTGGTTATTTCCACCGTAGTTATTTTTGTTTCATTGTTTTGCGTGTTTTTCTTATGTGAAATGTAATTAAAAAATTTGCCATATTTTAATCACCATTAAAACATAACTGAATAGGTATAAAAGAGAACTCGATAAATACTTTCATTGTTTTTAAGAATTCCGGAATTAGATACCCGAGGGAGCAAAGAGGGAGCAAGTTGCCACGCTGATTTGATACCTCATAGTCGAAAGGTGGGCTACTAGAACCGAAAATTGCTGTGTTTGTAAATAAATAAGTGATTTGAGGGCAAAGAATGCCCGGATTTAAACTTCTAAAATTATTTTGAACATAAAATATTTCAGTTTGAGGGATGTTAAGGCCTCAAAGAGTAGGTACTTTTCAGGTATCAAATAAGTTCCTCTGCGAAAGTTCCGTCGTGAAAACGGCTAAAATGGAACATTGTGAAATCGACTTATTTTATTGTAGCAATAGCGGAAACAATAGCTGTTGGTGATCAGCAATGAAAAATCGAGTGAACATATTGACATAACATTCAACAACAATGGAATTGATGCATTCAGTTCACGCACCGAAATAAAACACGACAAACACGAGGCACATCCCGTCGTAAAACATCGTAATACACATATCACATTTCACGGCAGCACCAGCTTCCCAAGCTTTCCAAGCCCGGTCACAAATTACCCAAGACGGTCAAATAGCCTTCTCAGGAACGACGACAGTCCTCCCCCACTATAACTGGATGCGGGTTTCACTGGACCGTCCTGAGGACCGACCCCAGCAACGTGTATCAATTCCTGAGTAGTTTCGATCCCTCCGTCAAAGAGTTCCCCCAGTTCCCCCACCTCTCCCCGCTCTCCCCCGGTGGTTCCCCTTCCTCCCCCTGCCCCGGCAGACACGGTGACCGGCGCCGTCTCATAGCGGCGCGGCTGGTCAAAGAACTTGAGTCCCGTCTTCGCCACCTCGCCCGCCTTCTGGCGCTCCAGACAGGCGTCTGCAGGCTCGTCGGGTTCACACACCCTCCCCTGAACACACTGCGGCTGCAGCAGGTCAAAGAACAGCCGGCCCACGCTGTCCGCCTCCCGCGCAGAGGACGCCTTCAGGCAGCGGTAGAACTCCTGGTCACAGGCGCAGTGGGACCTGAGGCAAACACAACGCTCAGAGTTAGACGCTGCGGGGACAGTGGCAGAGATGGTATATTGCAGAACGAGATAATACAACCTGAAAACAATACAGACGTTAAATCGAGCTGGGACACTGAAGCAGCCATTTTCCCATTACATATTAGCGGAATCAACTTCGTTTCTATGTAACTCCATCAGTAGACTGTTTACCGCTATCCATCGGCATCAAGTATTCGGGTATTCGCTGGCTCCCATAAACAGCAATTTACAACTGAATAGGTAATGAGCGCCTTGGGCAGCAATTACAGAGACTTGGTCACACTCGCAATAAACTCGATCGCTGCTTTTTTCGGTGTTGATTACCCAGCATGAGTCAGGAAAATGCCGCCATCATCGGACCGTAAACACCGTCTCGGTAAGACAATGACGCATACGCGAGCAGCTCATTAAAACAAGTGATGCATTAATAAATGCGTCGCCTCACCGAGAACCACAATCGCCTCACCGTGAAAGGGTTGTAAGCGAGGTCGCACGATAAATATCGATTAGGGGACTAAGGGCTTGGCTGAACACTATACATGTATCTCTCTCTCATACTAAAGGCGACCTTGAATCACGAATTATGCATGAATAGAAGAAGGGATTTCCCAAACAGTGATTTAAAATACATCATGACCGTGAAATGAAGCACTAGATCCGACTGGGAAATACCCGACCAACGTCTTTAAGACCAACGTGGCAATGCTACGCAGTTGTCAACGAGTCAGGGCAAGGACGACCAACACATGTATGAACAAAGACTTGCTTACTTAGTGTACACTCCCCAGTTGAAAAGGTCGTAGCGCCGTTTGTAGGCCTTGACCTTGACCGGGCAGAGGTCATGCGTCCGACAGCAGCGGTCCAGCTCGGCGTTAGTTCCGAGGTCGTTCCAGCCTTCGGCAGTGTCTCCCAGACCACACCACTTCGTACCTAGAGAAAAAGGAGACGCTCCATAAAAGCTCTGCTTACTTCATAAATTTGCATATACACTAAATTTGACACTTAATTTGTGTACCACCGCTCACAGACTCCATGAATATTATATATCTTTTTAATACCGAGCAAACACTTTTAATTGCCTAGACCTTCATGGATGTTATATGTCGTTCATTTGTATTCTGTACGGCCTACTCACCGGGCACCAGTCCCCTGAGCAGCATGCTGGCGTCCCAGTGGTCGCCGCTCTTGGTCAGCTCGGCGACCTGTCCCTGCGGCCGCCGGCGGCGACGGACAGTGTCCAGCTGCTGGCAGCGCCGCAGCGTGTCGAGCATGTGTGACAGGGAGACGTCGGTGACCGGCCGCTCCCGTCGGATGGCCGCCAGTCGCCGGCGCTCGTCATCCGCGTAACTGACAGAGCAGAAAGGTCACAGTGAGCTGGGTTAGCGTGTCAGGGGTCACAATCAAGGCGACAAATGTCATAGTCAGAATAACAGGGATGGGTTAGCGCGTAAATAACTGCATACAAAAAAGTTCGGCAAAAATACAAAGTGAGGATTCATCGGCAGATTTAATCTTACTTTGACGAAACTAACGTTTCTCTAATCTGATAGAAAATGCCTTGAGCGAATCGTTTGCTTTATGAGTCTCGTCCTTCAACAAGAAGGAGAAAATGCATAGAATGCTGAACGAAACAGCAATACGGTCATCGAATCCTCCTCTTTTTGTCCTACATTCAGCAAAAGCCTCCTTCTCTTCGTACAGCTCTGCTGAAAACACTGGATGTTATTAAGTATTCTGTATTCCAGCTGATCGATTTGCTCTTTGTATGCGAGTAAATGAACAGGGGATAATACCAACTACCCGTATCACTGTTTGCCATGAATGACAGCCACAACACTGCGGCATCTCTACTGTTTTTACCGCTCAAACCCTGGCAATAGGCTCAATAAATGGCTCATTTGTCGCACAGGAGGAAGGCACATTCCAATGAGTGCCGTTTTTGTTACTTTGGCACAACAACAGCCTTTCAGTGTAGTGAGCTGGAAAACGCTATTGCTTTTTACATTTGTCGTCAAAGCGATGCCCTTTATTCATAACAACCGTCCTTTCGGTGGTGCTAGCCTAACATTATTGATCCCGCTCTTTAAGCCCATTGTCCTGGAAACCTATGAGACCAGCATCCACGTTGGGTGATTCACCATTTGCTACGTCACTCGTTACCGATCCTTGATGGACTGAAAGTCGTCCAGCTTCCCCCTCCACCTTCCACCCTCCCCGCCCCCCCCCCCCCCCCCCACCCACCCACGCGACGAGTCGGGCCGGCGGCCACGCGCCACTTTCACTTGCGCGACAGCGTGGGTTGGAGGCCAACGGCTCCAGGTGCGTGTCCTGTCCGACTACCGAAACCCACAACATCCGATAGTGCGTGACCATCCGGCCCGGCCGATACACCTCAGTCCCCACCGGAGCTGTGAGGGGTGTTTGGTGACTCAGACCGGGCGACAGGGCATTGAACGCGCTGACAGCGATTTTTGATATAGATGACGTGTGAAAAAGTCGGGCAGGGATGGGCAACTCGGACAAGGATGCAATTTACTACGCAAGAGGAAACTGGCTAATTCTTTCTAGAACTTACATTTGGCGCTTACACGGCGAATGCTGCTTTGCGACCTTGTACTATATCGTACTTTGCAGTGAAAGCGGACACACCAGTTCTTGCCAGTGCAATACTATGCAAGCGCAACAGGAAATATTGTTGCACCTCTCAAGCATAGGTATACGATGTTAGTATGCCTAATGAGGATCGTCATGGAGAGAGAAAAAAAAAATGAAGCCTTGCCAGCGGCATTACGAGGGCCGATGGGACGTTTTCCCTCATCCTAACGTCGCTCACAAGTTTTGCAGAATAAAAACGGTACCTATCACTGACCTAACAAACGATAACAAAGGAAGTAATTTGAAATCCCTTTAACAATCCAAAACTTTGATTCCAGGCAAATAAATGATTTCAAAGGTAAAGGTTAAAAACCGAAACCATTGCACAACAAAGCCACGTGCACAATCGCAGGTCATTGCTGCGTCCACCACTATCTGATATACGACACGTTCTCAGTGACCGACACTTTATCATTTGGGTCGCGAACAAGTCACGTAACACACGAAACCGAACCCCCATTCTAATGCATTTTGACCTTGTGTTTGAAAAGGTGAGATATTGACCCGATGAATCGATTGAGACCATTATTTTGGCGATCAGACGAAGTCTTGAGGCACTTTTGACGCGTCCCGTCCTTTAAGGGACGATTGACGGTTGGCGGAGGGGAGCTATAGGCAAAATAAATGTCATATTCGTGCTCCCCGTCCCCCAATTGACCTGAAACGAGTTTTTGAAGCGATTTTGAATCCGACACTGTATTCGTGGCTGTTGCTGACCTTCACGGATACCTATGTATTTGAAGACTTCAAACATTCCGATTCTAGTAAGACATATTCGTTTAACTGTCGTATGAGAAGCAGCATCAAAACTCACAAAGAGGACTAACATGAGTTGTCATTTGGAACAGTTCGGTCACTTTAACTCAGTCAATTCATAGCTTGTTTGTTTTTGTTTTGTTGGGTTAGGCCCTTTCGGTCTGACAAGACCATTGCAGAGCCGGAAGGATGATAGGAATTAGGGGGAGACATTGGTCTGGGCAGACACCCTAGAGAGTCGCCGGGGCTGAGCCCGTCCGAATGGACAGGCCGACCAGCCCCCAAGCACTCTCTGCACCCGGCTACGGGGTGCGCTCCCTCGGGAGCAGCGGAGCCGCTCCAAGGGAGCAGCCCGCATGAGATAAAGGTGCCTGTCCAGCCCGGAGTGGGGTTGAGGCGTGGAGGAGAAGGATTTCTGTATCCTGAGGATAGAAGCACGGAACGGTTGAATTCATAGCACAGCCATCTACATAGGTAAAGCCGGCGATTCCGTACCTTGAAACGAGTAATAATTCAGGCAGTCTCAGTCAATAGCTGAAGCGTCACTGAGTAGTGAGTACTCACTTGACCTCGATGGTATCGCAGCGTGTCAGCTCGCCGTTGTCGGTCATCTGGAGCGTGAGGATGGTCTGCTGATGGTGCAGGGTCACCACCTGACCTGACCCCGACTGGTGCTGCTGATCCAGGGTCAGGCACAGGGCACCCGCCAGTAGGCAGCTCAGCCAGAGCAGACCCAGCAGACGCCGACGGCCGGTCATGCTGCACCGCGGGGAAACGGAGAGAGTGAGAGGAGAGAGCGGCGCGGTCCGGTCGGCAGGGAGAGAGAGCGGGGAGACCGGCCGCTGCCGACGCGTGTTGAGTGCCGACTGACAGCCCCGCAGGTGCCGGGGAGAGGGAGCGGGTTGCCAGGGAGGGGCGGGGGAGGAGGGGAGCACCCGGTCGGAAAGGCTGTGGGCGGCCCGGGATTCAGCCGGTCGGACCGGCGCCCAAAACCGGTCGCCGGTGCGTGGTGAGACGGCAGGGGCAGGAGGTCATGACAGGATGAGGGTCGAAATGGGCTCGAACGATTTGAACAGGAATTAACCCGCGCCCCGTAGGGGGGGGCCGAAACGGCCCCCCCCTGTCCTTTTCGGTCGATATCTCCTAAACGGCTGGAGATATCGCCACCAAACTTTCAGGACCCCTCCGGGCATCAATTTTACACATTGTGACCAAAAATTTTTCCATAGGCTGTGATAGGTTGGCCACAAATGACGTCAGAGTGACGTCATGTTCTGTCATTTTCGACCGAAAAAAGACCTTCGCGAGAAGACCTGTCAGGACTACAGCTTTGAAGATACAGAAAAATGATCAGGACATAAAAGGTGTAGAATTGACAGGGCTACAAAACTGCCATCTCGAATTTTTGAAATTTTTGAATTTTGACCCCCAAAAATCAAAAAAGCATTTTTTTGGATATATTCGCCAAAAAATCCAAAAAGTTTTTTGAGTTTCGAAAAAACCGGAATATATGTGATAGTGCCTACCGTCTTCTATCTACATACCAAATTTCAGATCGATACCTCGTTTTTTGGCCAAGTTATAGCGAAAAACTGTTCAAAAATGATGACGTCAAATTTTCAAACTCAATTTTTGGCAATTCTAGAACTCGTAGAGCAAAACGAAGACCACCATTAGACTCCCCGTGACGAGCTGCATCGAATTGATATCCATTTTATGCAAAAATATCAACTTTGAAATTTGACCTAATTTGACCTGACCTTGACCTGACCTTCACAAAAACGTGACCTAGGCTGGTCCCAAAGGCTGCCTAACCCACATAATCGCATTTGTCATGTAAAATGGACCATAAAACATGTATCACACGACACATTCATATTGTGACCCCCGGTGACCTGACCTCGCTGTGACCTGACCTGGTATCAGTGACCTCAGATAGCAAAGTATGTGTTTGACGAACAATGTACCATCGATGGTTTTCAATAAATTACCAATTTACTCGCTTTCACAGCACATTTCTTGAATTGCCTGTGAACGGTGAAAATCTGACCTTTGACCTGACCTGTGACGTCATCGGTTTGACCTAGGTCAATGAAATTTGGTCACAAGGTAGTTCCCGGGTGGGGCTATCGAACGCCGTTTGAATTTTGAAAATCGGCCGGTAACTTTCCGAGATCTTAGGGGGGGGCCGAAACGGCCCCCCCCTACGGGTGGTAGGGTCCGCCGGTAGCCCTACGGGGCGCGGGTTAATAGGAAAAACGATAAACCGGCGCTGCGGATTTTAGTCAGCAATGAATGCAAAGTTCAAAGTTGTATATATCTCAGGAAGATAGACGGTCGGTAAGTTCTGAATTTTTAGGTTTCCGGTCACCGGACAGACTATTGACAACATACTCGCTTTGTCTCGTAATACAGGTATCTAAAGTCAATCCCATCCTTTTTTCACATGAGCACATGAGGGGAGCAAATGCTGAGGATTGAAACGCATAAAATTATACTAATGACCCGACTTACTAGCATTGTGGCGGAAAAGCACATTCCTTAGCGACACGATACTTGTAATAAAGCACGCTCTTCACTTTCCGCACGATCACATGGCACCTGCTCATTATCGTCGAACATATCAAACCAGTCACACCAATACCATCCTATCTGTCGGACGATGGCAGTGAATATTATCACACTCGTCACTCGCCGGACACACTTATTTAATCAGACATCAATGCGTCTGAGACCAGCGCAGTGCCATCGCTGGCACCGGACTGGCTGTCGTCCGCTCGGCGGAGCCGGACGACCATGGTAAATGTGGGTCGTAGCGGTAACGGTCCTTCCGTACCGAGCCAGTCGGCAGCGGCATAGTGCTGGAGACGGGTCGGTGAAGGCGAAGAAAGGAAAACCTTTACTACCTTTGCTACCAAATGTTCCATATACTTCAACCATGGCTTCAACTATAGCGCAGATGTTTCAACAATATGATTTTTTTTGTGTTCAAAAGCAGATTCAGCGAAAGCAGGGACAAAAATACTAGCGAGCCATTGGCCAAAAGCTGATTTCGGCTAGATTTAAACCAATCAGCTGCCGCTACTGACCAATCAGCAGCAGCCACCGTTGAATCGCATACAGGGTAACGTATTGCAGAAACATTTTCGCTTTGCTTATTTTTTTATTTCAATTTTGCTTAGGGCTTTGGGCTGATAATTGATCTTGCGGTGGGTCTTTGGATTTTTTAAATTAGAGTTATTTTGTTGTTAAGCTTGAAAGGTTATGAGGATTATCAAATGGCAGATGTGATGCCTATATAAGTGCATGTTTTTTTTTAATTCATTTTAAAAGGGATAAAACGCAAGAAATTACCCAACGTTTCACATTTATTGCTCAGTCATGTGGGCAAGGCAGTTGCAGTATATACCGTCATGGTTGTTAGTCACACATGGGTGTTACATGGGTGTAAGTCACACCCACTGAACTCTAGTCACACCCATGACTAAGCAACAAATGCAAAATGCTGGGTAATTTCTTGTGTTTTTTATATTTAATTTATCCATTTGAAAATGAATTCAAAAGCTTAGGCCTTACATGCACTCATATATTTTAAGTTTATCAATGCTTTTCTGGACAGGAGTGTTTGACTTACATCAATGGTTTTAAAAATGTATTAAAAATGATTGTTTGTGCATCAGCTAGGCAGAGAATTATAAATTTTACCCATGTTTCACCTTTTGTTTTTTGTTTTTTATGTTCCATCAACCACACTCCCAGCTTTCTGAGTTGTGTGCTAGTATATGCTTTTGATACATTATTTAAGATATCATTGAATTTGTGTAGTTATATTCATTTTTATTTCAATTGTTTCCCCTTGCATGGCAATTCCGTGCTTGCTGGTGCTATGTCACCATGGCAGCTCTTCATAGCAAAGTGCAAGGTTTAGATGTGACGAGGCATGCCACAACTATTGTCAAGTCACCCATAAATATTAATTCAGACCTGTCTAATATCACCTGGTAGGTAATAAAGCCATTCACTTCAATATTAATTGCATTATCTGGGCCTTATTTTATTTTGGTTACCAAAAAATCATAGCATTTATAGGACGACGGTGAAAACAGGGCGCCTGGGGCAATTTGATCAAGGTTCGTGAAATTTACACGTGACGTTTGGCATATGGAAGGCCCGTGGAGCGGCAGAAGTTCCAAATGTCACGTGACTAATATGCCCTCCGGCGCCCTGTTTTCACCGGCGTCCCATTTATAGAGTTGCTTGAATTCTATTTGTTCAAATTTCCTTGCCCTCAACCTAAGGACTTCACATAGTCATTATAAAGGCTTGTTATATGCTGATGGTGATGGGGCTCCTGATGCTGCATCCTGAAGGCTGAAGGAATTTGGAATGTCTAAACAACACCCATTCAACACATAATGATAACAGCTTTTTTGAAAAAGTTCAGTGTGTTGACCACTGATCCAGAGTTAAGTCATTAAGGTTATAGTTGTTTTAGAATTATCAAGTCAATACACAAATGTAAATTCCAGTTTATGGTTGGTTTGATTTTGACAGTCAATAGTTTGACAATGTTTTACATATTTTTTCAGTAAGAGTAAGAATACCATGTCATGGGCATAGTTAAATTAATTTTTCTAAACCATGCAGAAAGGAGCAAGCCATTTGAAGATCAGAATATAACATTTAGTTGGACTTGTTGAAAGCTAGTCAGCAATGCAATATTATTGTATGTAATATAGTTTTTTGCCAAACTGGGCTGTAAAATATAACATTGATGGGCCAGAAAATCTATGAATATGAACTGTGTGGCTGATGACTTGACCTCTTGCCCTTTTTGCAGTCTGCTATGAGATGTGCAATTAGGTAACCTGAAAATACAGCTATTGCCATGGCTGCTGCTGCAAAATCAAGGGCAATTGAAAAAGATGTTGATGGCCTTATTGCTTGTGTAACTGGCTTCTCTGAGACAGTAAGTAGCTGCTGCTAATTGTTTATCTGTGGTAACTGTGGTGATATTAGAAATACACTGCATACTATAATTGCTGCCTTCTGTTTAAAGGTTTTTAAAGAACTGGTGTATTCTCTTCTAAAGTTTTAACCGTGATTTTTTTTTTGTTATTGAAGATCAGCTGATGCAAAGCTTTGATAAAGTTCATTGTTGGTGTATTATTTCAGATGAGTTACTTCTGTGTCCTTGCTGAATAAAAGCAAACTTGTATACACTAGATAAGATATTTAACTTATTTTTTTCAAGTATTTTTTAAGTATGTGATCTTATCTATCAAGTTAATGAACTTAAAACAATTGTGCTATGTAGCTTAAAACACCAAAAGCTCCAATGTACACCGCACATCACTATTGATTTCCCAACCCTCTCTACCACAGTTGGAGAAAGACGAGGAAAACTTTGAGCTATGCCGCCGGTACGTGCTCTCCAACATCTACTACCACCGTTATCTGGACACAAACAGCCACGAAGTGCGCCGCCAGCTGCGCGGACTGGCCACCAAATTCCGCGTGCACGCGCTGCCCGGCCACGCCGAGCGACTGGAGACCCTCTGGAAACGGCTGGTCGAGGCGCGAGACTGGTCCGAACACGCTCAGGTGAGTAAATTTGAGGGAAGGAGTGATGGGAGGGAAGGTTGTTGGAGGTTGGATGCAGGAGTGGTTGCTAGGCTGGTATAAATGATGGGTACTTTGTTAAATGTTTTGTCGCCTGCTCTTTAAATTTTGCTTTTTATCAACCATTCCTGTTTTCGCTCAGTCCGAACTATGGAGTATGCACACATGGTGAGAAGAAACGCTTCATACATAACTCAACGGGAAGAGGTATTTCCCTGTAATTTTCCCTCCTAAAACCATCATTCCCCATCTCTTTCCAGTGGGACATCGAATGGCGTCTTCTCAGTCTTCTGGTGAACCTGAGCAACAACCCGACGTCGGTGGCGAGCCGGCCGCGGGCGGCGCCCGGTCAGCAGCCGCTGGCGGCCGTGTCAGAGGGAGGCGAGGAGCAGGATCAGGAGGTGGACTGGAGGAAGGAGCTGCTGCTGCCCGAGGAGGAGTACAGCCCCTACCAGAGCCCGGTGAGGGACGGTGGCGGTGGCCGGTCGGGGGAGGGTTGGCAGAATGGACTATGGGAGATTGCCAGAGCTGGGATTTCGTTTGAATGGGGAAGATGGGAGGTGAGCATTACGTGGTATGGGTGCAATTTGCTTTCCGTTCCATAGGTATGTTAGGTTGTTGGGTTTTCATGCTAATGCGTAGGTATTATATCGCTAAATAAATATGTTGTTTTTAGTTGCCTTGCTTCTTTGGTACATCTTAATTTTCTCCAGTTGAAACCTTTTAGTCGCAAAGTCATGAAATTTGACCGTGTTTGTTGCCAGGAGGAGTGGTCGGACCTGGACGATGACGACGACATCAACATATCTCCGCCGCCGGTCCACGTCGTTCGATTCAGCCGGCCGTCACTGCTGCTGCCAGGTGGGTCTAAATGGTCATTACTTGTTAATTTCCTCCAGTGTCATGTCTGGAATGTGAATACAGGATGTTTCGCGCTGCTCTCGTGCACTCTGCAATGGGCAGAGGGAGTCGCTTTCGGGCTCGATGAATGTTATGTGTGTAAAAGAGGACAAGAAGGCCGGTCGAGCGATATTCGTGTATGTGCTTTCTCTACAGCTGCTTTTCCTTCAACTTTTTTTTTCAAAATACAGCTCCTACGGACAGTTTTGTTCTACGCCATTTTTCCTGCCCTCTATCCCTCACCCTTTCTTGCCTCCCACTATTCACCGGGCTCAGTCCCGGTCCGATATCTTCCATTCCCATTTCTCTCCCCTTACGTTTTCTGATCTGCTCAATGCGTTCATTGGCCACCTGATACCTCCCTTTCCTTTCACACCCCATACTTACATCCCTCTGCGCCCTTCCCCACAGGAGTGGAGGTGGGTCGGCCGAGCGCCGGCCGGCCCCTGCCCCTCGCCGACGAGGGTGACCCGCTCACCTGGCTGGAGGAGCACATCTCGCGGCCCTACCAGCCCGTGGAGCTCGGCCCGGGACCGCTGCGGCCCAGCCCCGACGCCGCCGAGACATAGTCAGTGAACCGAGATTCGCTGGACGATGGATATCGGCGGTCGCTTATCCGTCGCTGCTACGTTTGTCGCTTAACTATTTCCCATGTTTTAACTCAAAACTTTTGAGAACATGTACAATGTTTTGTTGCGTTATTGTTATTAATCGAATACTAAGCAGTATGCATATAGATAATGAAGAAAAATGAGAAACTTCTTCTCATTGACTTGTTTTGGCCTCCTCACCACCCGCCATCTCTATAACCCTCTCCCTCCTCGCTCCCCAGTCACGCGCTGCAGGTGCGCCTGGGTCTGGCCGGTCCCACCGATCTGTCTGTGCTCTCTGAGTGGAGCGTCTGCCGCGAACTGGTCTGGCAGCTGCTCTCCCCCGCCGACTCATCACTGCTGCAGTGTCGGGACGGCCAGTTCCGGCCGACCGGACGGTTCAGGGTGCACGGACTGACTCAGGTAAGGCAGGAGTGGGATACTTCGGGGCTAAGGTGATGCGTGGACCTCATATCTCGTGAGCAATAGTGCGTCTGTAAGCCAGGTGTAAGTTGCACTAAGTGGAACATATTGAGACAGGCTTTCCCCGCTCATTCACCTCTCTCTCTCTTCCCCACAGGCGGCGCTCTCGAGTCAGCTGAGTCGTTTCTGCGCCCCTGTGACGGCAGTGGGTCGGCTGCGTGGCTTTATC